TTTGTAGTCTATTTTATTAAGAACTTGTTTGTGTTATATTTTTTAATAGTTTATTTTATTAAGGTTTTTTATTTTATATTACATTTTCTAATAGTTAGCTATTATAATTAATAAAACTAATTAATTAGACATGTTAGTTAACTTAATTGTGTTACATTTTTTAATAGCATTTTGAGTTACTTTAATTAGAATTTTGTTCTGAACTTAATAACGGTTTACCATTTTCTAGTTATAATACATTTTAATCATCATAATATATTTTGATTTTAATTTCAATCATGACCTTTAAGTTAAAATAATTTAACTTTTAGATTTTACCTTTTTTCTCTAAATAGCATAAGAATTTTTAGCTTTATAGATTTAAATTTACAAATTACCTTGAATGAAATTAAATAAATATTATAGCATTTTTTGTATATTATTATTCTTGTTATCTTATCTATAATTTTACCATCAGCTATAATAATTTTAACTTTATTTTCAAATACAAAGAAATAATAATATCAGTATAAGATTTTTTTTTAGACATATTCTTATAATCTCATCATACCTATAAATTAAGCTCTATGCAAAATTCTCAATTGTATTGTTAAAATAATCTTATTATATAGTTCATTTAATATCACTAAAAAAAAATAGGTCTAGAAAGATTAAGCTTCAAAATTCATTTGGTGACTTGATTTTTATCAAACTTAGATATTTCATCAAATAAAATATTCTTATAAAGATATCATCATCTATATTAAGTGATAATTTTAAATTTTGATTGTTATCATTGGTAACAATTTGTTTATCACATGCAAATTTTGATTTTTTATAATTATTAGATTCATACAGTAGATTTTTCTTCTTATTGCATTGTCTTATCCTATTACTAATACTTTTCTTATGTATATCATCCAAAAAAGTGACCATTTTCCTATTCTCTGATGACTTCTAATCTCTCAAATAAGATGGCGAAAAAGTGGCCTTATTATATTGATTCGTAATGAAACTAGGCATATTGACACTATTTCGAAATTATCTTTGGTTGGCTGTTTGCTTTCCTCATCTCCATCACTTAGTTTCACTAGTTCAGCCTTCAGTTCAGCAATTTCATCATCACCTAATCATTCTTGGCTGAAGAATCTGTCTTGTTTTTCTCTAACTCCTCAATTCTGGCCTTGAGTTTAGCATTTTCAATATCACATTTCTTACGCTCTTCCACAGCCTGTCTTAGAATTAGCTAAGAACTTGCCATTTAATTCTCTCAATGAACCAAATGCTTGACAATAATTTTTTATATAAGATGGAATAATTCAAAATTTCGTTAGCATAGATAAAAAAATGAGATAATATTCTTATTGGAATTACTGATTTATTGATGTAAAAATAAATCACAAGATTCGGTAATATATAAATTTGTTTTACAAAATGAAATAGCGTCTCTATACTATGCCTGCCGGTGTTTTGTTTATCTAAGCTATCTATATACTAATAACATTAACTCTGATCTGATTTCATTTGTCTCCAACATCTGATATTCTGGGTAAAATAAAATGGTCGTCAGTTATGCATAAAACATACCAGAGTCAGAAATAAATTAACAGTACTGACCTTAGTAAAACTTACAAAAATTTATAATAGGTCCTCGAAATTACAGTAGCTTTGCAAGCTCTGAGTCATTTCCTTGCAAATGCGAAATAATATCCATCTTTCAGATGTCTCGATACTTTTGTTCTATCACTAACCTTCACGTCACGTGTTTATTTTATAATACAGTTTTAATTGTTTAAAATTATAAACCTGATACTGATCGTCATCGCAGATCGGCACACAATATCACATCATTAGATTTTATGGTTAGGCCAGGTTTAGGGATCATGATAATGCGGGCCAAAATCACGTGATCGATGAATTTTCTGGGTAGTTATTTTTGTCCGAAGCATAGCGGATACAAATGCAATGTCGTTCTGTCCTGCAGTTGATGTCATGTCACGCGTGTTTCACAAAATTTGAACACTAAAAAAATTTGATAAATTATGATTTTATTATAAATCTTATCTGGAATAATGAATGCTTCGGACTAGAACGGTTACCGTTCCCTAGTACTATAAAACAAATCCGTGAATTTTGGGAAAACTGAGGCCCGACTTATTATGTTTCACTAATTATAATTTTATAAAATCTAATGAATATTTATTAATATTTGCTATATTGCGATTTTTTTTAAATCATATTTATAATAATTTAGATGCATTAGATTTTTTTTTTTTTTTATTTAAAAATATTATCACAAATAACAAAAAACAACCGGATGGTTTAAAAATATTAAAATGATTTGGAAGATAATATATTAATTCTTTCTTTTTCTTAAAGCTTCGAAATAATTCATACTTAAAAAGGAAAAAGAATGATTATTTGATATTTTTATTTGAATGATATTGTTCTTTTTATTATTTACGCTTTACGTAATTTTTGTTTTTTTTTACAAGCCTAAGCCTTTTTTTTTTTCTATTGGCCTTGAGTTACGATACATCGGCCGGTCAAAGGGACGATTAAATAAAGACAATAAAGGTGTAATACAATCGATTAATCTTATTTGTAATGAAAGGCTGCCATGTGTTATAAAATTTTCTTGTGGAAACAAAGGTTTTCTTCGATCCTTTGATTATATGAACGAATTAACATGCTTGTGGTTTGAGATTTTAATTTATGTGATTCACGTAATATATTAAAGTATTACCCTATTAAGTAATTGATAACTTTCATTGTATCCAAAAACGGAGAATAAATTACGCAGTGACTGGTTATTTATAAAAACAACGACAATTTGGCGTTTATTGAATGTCACAACCGTTTACAAATGGGAATGATTGTTCCGATAAACAGAAAGTTCATACTTATGCTTATCCCCCCCCCCTTGTTTTAAACTCTATAATTTAAATTCTGACGAATATGAAAAAAAAAAAAAAAAATGAAACCTTTTTCTCCTTATTTCTATTTTCGTATTTCATGATACAATACAAAGGGTCACAAATAAACGGCAAATAAAGAGGACGGGTTCCCAAAAAGATGTAAATTAATTATATAATCTTTTGAAACACGTAAATTATCTTTATTTTGAAACTTGACTATAAGTGGAAATAATAATAATTTCATTTTTAATATTATGTAAAAAGAACAAAGTGGAAGGTGTCAAAATTATATAAATACGAGATGAATTCCTTGATGTTTGAAAGTCTTCAGCTTACTTTTACACGAGTATTCCCTCTCCTAAAAAAAAAAAAAAAAAAAAAATAAAATAAATTTTGATAATTTATTTTATCTCTCATTAAAAAAAAAAATAAAAATAAATTTTGATAATTTATTTTTATTCCTTTAAATCCTTTAAATTTCGATAATTTAATTTATTTTTGTCACTTCTCTCATTTCAAGAAACGAAAAAATAAATTTTGATAATTTATTTTAATTTATTTTATCTTTTCTTCTTTCAACAAAATATCTTATCCTCTCCTCCTATTGTAAAAAAAAAAAAATAATGCCTGAAATCCAATCCGCCATTGCTGCAACGCCTGATGCATTAAATGGGGCAGTTGAAATCGTGAATTCAGTGGTAACGATTGGCGATGCGTTAAATATAGCAAAAGGAACCTTACAATGCATCGGTACCGCGGCGGATGCAATTACCCCTTTTATTCCATTGATAGGTGCAGCGACTACGATTATTAGCGATATTATCATCATTTACCAACAAGCAGCATACAATAAAAAGATTGTTAGCGCTTTATATGATAGAACGAGATATGCAGAACTCGCCATTGAAACTTTGCAACGACGTAAGAAATTACATGAAAAAGATTTTAGAAGTCAAGAATGGTATGATGCATTTAATCGTTTCGTTGACGTTTTAAAGGAAATTAGAACTTTTGCCAAAGAAGTTTCATGTCTTCGTGGATATAAAAAGTATTTTAAAAGTTTTACCGTTAAAGAGCGATTTGAAGCTCTCACCAATTCTTATGACGTCGTTATGAAAGATTTAAACTTTACTATGGCTGTTGCAAACGAAGAACAAAGACGATATGATAACGAATGTTTAATGGATGATGTTTCTGAAATGAGCAAAGTAAGTCTTTTTTTTTTTTTTTTTTTTTTAGAAAATTAACATTTTTCTTCTTGCTTGAAAGGATTTTATTTTATTTACTATTTTCCTTTTTGCAGTTTCTTCAAACAATCGAAGGTGGTATCGTGACCAATGACAATAAGCTTAATATTGTTCTTGAAGAGTTAAGACTTATGAAAATCAGCATAGACAGCGGGAAAGGACCGATTGCAATGGCCAAACAAATAGAGGAAAATGAGATAACGGATCCTTATATCAATGAACCAACTGATTATCGTGGTAGCAACAGACATATTATAAGAAGGCAGTATAAGACAACCATAGAAGTAGCATGCAAACCTTTCGAATTAAATAAGGATGATAAAGAAGAATATAAGAAAAAACAAGGTCAACTCGCCATTTTATCCAAATTATCCGAATGCACAAATATTCTTAAATTCTATGGGCTAGCGAATTTAAATGGGCAGAATCACATGATATTAGAGTGGGCTCACTATGGTAACTTGAGAGAGGTATATGAAGACTATGATATACCTTGGATGAGGAAATTACATATTGCGACCGATATATGTCGAGCCATCACTTTCTTGCAATCTGTGGATATTTTTCATCACGATTTGCGATGCGAGAACGTCATGTTGACAAGGAATTTAGAACCGAAACTTACAAACTTTGAATATGCTCGTTCCAAAAATGCTTCAACCTCTTCAATTGGTGATTTAATGAAAATAGTTCATTGGTTAGCTCCTGAAAAAATGCGCGACAGAAGTACACGATACAATATTAAATGCGAAATTTTCAGGTATAATATTTAAATAATATGAAAGTTTTAGAAAAGGTTTAAAGAGTGTTTTTAACTAACATGTTTCTCTCTTGACTTTTAACTTATAGCTTTGGGATGTTACTTTGGGAATTAACTTTTGAAAAAACTCCATATCAAGGATGGGAAGTGGAAAGAGTGGAAACCCACGTAAAAGCAGGAAAGAGAGAAAAAATTACATTTGGACCTGTTGCTGATGACCGGGAATTAGAAATTCAAAAAGTATTAGAAGAAGTTATAACAGGAGGTATGTATTGGTTTGATACGTATTTGCTGATTTATTACGAATTTAGACAGGTTATTAATTATCATTTTTTTTTTTTTCCTTTGTAAATTATAAAGCATGGAAAGCAAATCCTGAAGAAAGAATTTCGCTTGTTAAACTATTTAATACACTTGAAAAATTACAATCCGAAAATAAAAATTTAATGGAACAAGGTTGTAATTCAAATTTACTTCCACAAAAATCATTGGATTTGGATGGGTCAAGCACACCTCCACCACCACCAGATAGTGACGCGGATGCGGAATTACCCGAATTCGAGGATTTCTCGCTTGATTGTGGAATAATAACAGTAATTTCATTTGAAGAAGGGGTAAAAGCACATAAGGATGGCAAATATGATAAAGCTTGGGAATGTTTCGAATATCATGCAGATAATGGAAATGCAAATGCAAAATATTGGATGGCTTACTATTTATGGGAAGGAAAGTTTGTAGAAAAAAATTGTGAAGAAGCTGCAAAATTATTTAAGGAGGCTGCTGATCAAGGCATTCCTGATGCACAACTTCGCTACGCATTCACATTTCAAACTAAGCTAGGTAAGAAAAAGTATCGAGAAGAATTCATTAAATATTTAACTTTGGCGGCTGATGGAGGAAATCAATCCGCTCAATATAATTTGGGGGATGTTTACTTTAATAAAAAATTAATGATGGGTGATAAGCAAAAAGGAATTTATTATTTAAAATTAGCTGCCTTGCAAAATCATCCAAATGCAATTAAAATGTTGGAAAAACATAATATAAGTTTTGCCGATGGACCAAAATTAGAACATTAGATATATGATTACATTTTTTCATAGTTGTACATTTTTTAAAAAATTATAAATAAAAGTAATAAAAAGAACAAAATTTTAATATATAACAATATCTGTGTTCTGAACAATGAATAGGTTATGATTTATGCGCCCTCCCTAACTTTCAGCCATTTTGTGTGTATATTTATTTTAAATACCCCTTGCAATTTTAATCTCATCTTTTGGAAAAAAAAAAAATATCTAGGAGTATAATATTACTTGTGTACACCGATCATCACCTCATACAAGATAGGACCCCTACATATTCTTTCGGACAAAAGACTAAAATATTTAATTACTGACTGACAATGCAAATCTGTTTTTTTTTAATTAAAAAAAAAAGATGAAATTTGATTGGTCTAAATATATATGATGATTTAATCTTTTTAACGTACGTTTCACTTTATACGACAAAAAGCACGTGAATTGAATTGCGATAATTGCTTTATAAATTAATCACGAAATTTATATTAGATAATGTGATTATTAAACATGAGGATCGTCAGAGACATTAAAAGATTTTTAAATAACGCTTTCTCTTTTATTACAACGAAAGTTTAAGTACCGCGAACCTAGTTTCATGAACATATGGCATTACGGAAACACGTATTTCTCGTTTCTAGGTATCGTTTATCACGTGATAAAGCTTTAACAAAGAAATCACAGAACTACAAAAACTACTATTAATGAATTATTGTAGTTAGAAGTTACATCTATCTCCCGAAGAACTATTCCATTTAATAATATTTATGTCAAGTTTGCAATACCATCAATTTTTTTTTTTTTTTGCAAATTGCAAATTGTTAAATCCAAAATCGCGACTATTTACGCGTGACATTAAATCTGCAAAAAAATCTCTTGTATATTTGATTTTGTTTTTCATTCTTTGCATTTACTTTTTTGATTGTAACAAGAGCAAAAGATTGTCTTTTAATTATGCCTTATAAACGAATTAAAATTACCAGAGTAACGCAAAAAAGTTTAATCTATAATAACGGTCAATCAAACGGTTGACTAACAGGCCGTCCAGGGATTGGTAATTTGGCATACCAGAATTAAATCAAAGAACGATGTACGCATTTTAAATTTAATAAATATATGATTTCTAAAATCAACCTCCTATTAAATTCGCACAAATAATTAAACATTTTTAACGATATTTGATGAAGAAACATGAATGTACTGTATAAGGTTAAAAACTAACGCATCTTTTTAAGGTAATTGGAAATCATTTTGATAATTAAAGACTAATTTTTTGAAGAACAGGTGTTTATTAGGAAAAAGTTCTTGTGTAAAATAATAGTAACAATAATTACGACCTGAATATTAATACGAATATTTTTTTTTTTAATGTAAATCATATCGATATAATCATACAAAGAACTGAATACATATAAATCTAAAATGACAACAAATAATATTTTCATTCATATATATTTATATTATGTTTTTTCAAAATTTCTACTGCTTTAGACTGACCAAACAAACAAGCTTGTCTTAAATATTTAATACCTTTTTGTGTATCCTTTTCAAAATTAAGTTTACCTGAAAAATATACATCGCCAAGGTTATAAAGAGCGGTAGCATTATTATTATCAGCTGCCATTTTTAAATATTCCATGAACTTTCTACTATCAATATTTTGATTTTCTTTATCAATTAAACAAAATGCATATCGTAATTGAGCATCAGCATTACCCGCATCCGCCGCCTCCTTAAATAATTCCATGGCACGTTTCTTGTTTTTTTCTACATGCCTGCCTTCCAGATAATAATACCCGCACCAATATTTTGCCAATATATCTCCTACTTCGGCGTTCCCTTTGAAACATCCCCAAGCCTTTTCATATTCATGTGCTTTGTGAGCTTGTAAACCTTCTTTGACCGTAAGTAATGGTGTAACTGGTGTAGAAATAGAAAAATTATCATCAGGGATACTTAAGTCTTGTTGGTCATCATCTTCACAACGTACTATCGGAGAAATTATATTTAATATATATTTCTGAAATAATTCATTCATCATATTGAAGAGAAGTTGAATTCCTGGACGTAATGATGGTTCTTGTTGCCAAGCGAGCTTAATAATTTCACCATATCCAACTTGAAGTGGATTTTGGGTTAATCCAAATTCCAATGTTTCCCTACCACCTTTGGAAACATATTTTTGAATGTCCACCATAGTCATTTTTTCGTATGGTATTTTTTCAAAGGCAAGTTCCCAAAGGAGCATTCCAAAACTGAAAATTTCACATTGAATAGTATATCTAGCTTCTTGTTTTTTATTAGAACTTTTCGGATCACGATCATAACTGTTTAACTTTTCTGGTGCTAACCAATGTATTATAGCATTCATATCATCGATCTGACTGGTAACTTCGTTAATTTCACGAGCAAATTTGAAATTACAAAGTTTGGGTTGCATTTTCTCAGTCATTAACACGTTTTCGCATCGAATATCATGGTGCAAAATTTCCACTGTAGATTTAAATGTGTAATTAAGGTTAATTTTGAGCGTACATTATGAAAACTTTTTGATTAAAAATCATCACCTGCATGTAAAAAGGCTAATCCACGACAGATATCTCTTACAATAGTAATCTTTTCCTCCCATCCAAGACTAAAATTCTGATAAACTTCTTTTAAAGTTCCTAGTTCCGCCCATTCAAAAACCATTACATAATTTTTTTCAGATAATTCTGATACTCCATGAAATTTAATAATATATGGACAAGCGTGTAACTTTCCCAAAATAGCAAGATGTTTCTGAATTTTTTGCATATTATTCGTAGCAATCGGTTTGCAAGCAACATCCAATGCGGTAAAACTTTTTTTTAGAACTGTTACTCTGTTGCCTTTACGTAGAACGACGTCTTGCGCATCACGAATTTCTGAAGGTTTGATTCTTTTAGCTTCTACTTGTAAAGAATTTTGTCCATTTACTTGTTTGCTGAATGAAGAGATGGAATCAATTTCTTCATTGAGCGAACCGAAACTAAGTGATATATGTCCATCTTTAAATCCTAAAAGCTGTTTGTTTTGTTCTAAAATTTTGTCATTTTGTTGTTGAATATTTTCAACTATAATCTTAATTTCGTTATTTTCGTTAAGGATATGAGTAGTAGTTTCCTTGATTTCATCGGTTTTATTTTCAATAGATGTAACACCGCCTTCAATATCATCCAAAAACTTTATGTAATTTAAAGAACATGGATTAATTTAACTATTAAATTATTTTTTAAAAAAGTCTTTGCAAATACAATAATATTACATACCTTTTTCATTGCAACAATATCATTTTGTAAAATTGTAAAGTCCTTATCCATTTGTTCTTTTGTGGCAATAGAAATTGCCAAATTCAAAATATCGGAACATTCATTAAATTCTCCGATAACCTTTTCAAATTTATCTTTAATATCCCCGCTTGTGAAAAATTTTTTAAATTTCGATAAATTAGAAATTTCAACACAAAATTTCTTAATTTGTTTTAAACAATTTACAAATTTTTGAAAAGAGTCATAATAACTTTGTTTACGAAAGTTTTCAAGATTATCTTCCGATTGTCTCATTAATGCTTTAATGGCAGTTTCGGCGGCTTCAACTCGGTTAACTAATATACCGCAAGTTCTTTTATTATATTGAACATTTTCATATACTTCTACTATTTCTTTTACCAAACCTGATACAATAGATACAAAAGGTAGGTAAGGACCAACAGCATCTGCAAGGTTCCCCATAACTTTAATGGTCTCTTTGGCTAATTCGCCAGTAAAACGTCTTTCTCCTGCAAATTGACCCACTTCATGTATTATTTCAGCACTTGAAGCAATTACTACCGACGCTCCTCCAATGTTTTTTGACATCGACATCTTTGAATTACTAAAAAAAAATCCGAATTCCTAATGTTACAAAACTTTAATTTTTATTGACCAAAAATTTATCTTACCGCAGTATTGATGATTCTTTTTTTTTTTTAAAAAAAAAAAAAAAAGTTGAAAAATTTTTTTGCCTTTTTTATAATTTTCAAATATGCAAGCGATTCCGTAAACTCCGAGCTCAATATATTGTAAAATTTATTGTTATAGAAATGATCTTATGGCCGGAGTTTTCAAACCAAAGTTATTTCCATATGGAATTCCTAGAATTTTTGGCAGGCATTTCTGTTTCACAAAAATTAATCATGTCATACAATTTCTTATAACTTTTCCGTGTTTGGTAAAAAGGATCTAACGTTGGATTATTTTCGGAATTGTATTTGAATAAAAATAAAACTTATTATAAAATTAAAATTGTTTGTTTAATCTTAATTTATCTTTTAAGAATTATTTTTTATTATTTAAACAATTTACTAAATTTGATTATAATAACTATTTAAATAAAAACTTATATAATAAAAAATGTTCGTGTAACTGCCAACTTTATAAATAATAAATTGTTTACAATTTCATGATAAATGTTACCTTTGATAATTCAAGATTAAAAAGATGTTTTTACGTCTATTTGTACGTGAAAGGTAAATTGCAAGGCAATAGGTTAACGACTAATTTACAAATTAATAATTTATATATAAAATTATATTATATTTTTATTAAAATATAATAAAGTTAATCAAAAAAAAATCAATATATAATTATAAAAGTAATTTTAATTAAACTAAAAACTTTAAATTAATTATTAATAATTAAATAAAAATTATTAAATAGCATTTATTAAACTAATTTTTAAATTTATAATTATTTTAAGAAATAATTTATTTATCTCATGTGTGTAATGTATCACTTCCTTTTGTTACCTATATTACATTCCCTCACTTTTTTATTTTTTTTCATATATATTATATATTCTGAAGATTGAGAAATTTTTTTATTAAAAAAATCTATTCTTTACACTCATATTAAATATCACATGTTTTAATTTTATCTGATTTTATCTAGAAGTAATATATTATATATACAATAAAAAAATTTACTCTTATTTTAATATTATAAGTTTTTATATATTATATTTAATAAAATATAATAATATATATTTATAATCTTATATAATAAAAAAATATTTGTATAATTATTAATATTAGAATATTATATAAATAATTTAAATCTTTTTTTTAATAAAAATTTTTTAATATCTAAAATTAAATAAATAAATTTGTATTATATTAATATTAATATAATAATTAAAATATAACTAATTTTAGTTCTAACAAAGTATATTTGATAGAAAATGATAATTATTTTTTTATCATTATTTTTATTAAAATTAGATATAGTAGGACAAAAATTTATTATATATAATAAATGTACTGATCAATAAACTATATATTATATTAAAAATAAACTTAAATTTAGAATAAATAAATAAGTTATATTACATTAACCAATAAATTTCTTAAAAAATAAAATATTCTCAATAGTATATTTTGCTAGTCTGTGATCAAATGTGATCAAAATTATCTGAATATAAAAAGAAAGATGCATTTAAAATTAATAAAATATTTAGTAAACTAATAAAATTAATATTTCAAATTAAAGAAATTTAAAACATAAAAAAAGTAAAAAAAGAATTACAATATTTTGAAAATCTTTACCATTTTTTTAGTTTATTATCAGATAATAGTAGAAATATAATATATTTATAAAATATTAAGAGATATAAATTTATAATATATAAAATAATAAATTATTTGATTATATAGTCTAATGCAAAAAGTTTGATATATCAATATGTTCATAGCAAAAAAATAAAATTTTAAATTTAATATAAACATTTAAATATTTTTATTTATTACATGGGATATTTATTATTAAAATTGAGTTACAAATATAGTAAATTATATAATCTGTAATGTGATTTTAATAGCTTATCTCCCATATAAGTTTTAAGGAATATTTTAATGTAAATTTTATTAAAATATAAAATTTCTATAAAAAATTTTATTAATTGTTAATTTCCTTAATTTCAGAATCCTCATAATCACTTTCAGCCAGTGTTGGCATATGACCTTATCATTTAGCTTAAAATATGACCTTTTGTCATTTGGTCATATGACTGATGGTCATTTTGTCATTTGTCATAAAATTACGTCGCATGTCATATGATTTACATGACCGTTAATCATATGACAAGACCTAAGTTTTATTGCAAAAATTGCAATATTATTTTACTAAAAATTAGTGATAGTTTAATTTTAACCTAAACACTTGATAATTAAGAGGTTAAAACTTTAAATTACTATAAAAAACTCTAATACTTTAGTAAATTTAACGTTTTTAACATCAGAGATGACGTTCCGAACATTGGAGACGTTAAAATATTGCAAAATTGCAATAAATTTGACGTTCCAAACGTCAAAAGTGTCAAATGTTGTAAAATTGCAATAAAATTTAACGTTTCAAATGTTGGAGGCGTCAAATGTTGCAAAATTGCAATAAAATTTGACGTTCTGAATGTTGGAAGCGTCAAATGTTGCAAAATTGCAATAAAATTTGACGTTCTAAATATCGGAGGCGTCAAATATTGCAAAATTGCAATAAAATTTGACATTCTGAATGTCGAAGACGTCAAATATTATAAAATTGCAATAAAATTTGACGTTCTGAACGTTGAAGGCGTCAAATATTGCAAAATTGTAATAAATTTGACGTTCTAAACGTCATAAGCATCAAATATTGCAAAATTGCAATAAAATTTGACATTCCGAACGTCAGAGGCATCAAATATTGCAAAATTGCAATAAAATTTGACGTTCTAAACGTCAGAGGCGTCAAATATTGCAAAATTGCAATAAAATTTGACGTTCTGAACATTGGAGGCGTCAAATATTGCAAAATTGCAATAAATTTGACGTTCCAAATGTTGGAGGCGTCAAATATTGCAAAATTGCAATAAAATTTGACGTTCTGAACATCAGAGGCGTCAAATATTGCAAAATTGCAATAAATTTGACGTTCCAAATGTTAAAGGCGTCAAATATTGCAAAATTGCAATAAAATTTGACGTTCTGAACGTCAGAGGCGTCAAATATTGCAAAATTGCAATAAAATTTGACGTCCTGAACGTCAAAGACGTCAAATATTGCAAAATTGCAATAAAATTTGACGTTCTAAATGTCAGAGACGTCAAAATATTGCAAAATTACAATAAATTTAACGTTCCAAATGTCAGAAGCGTCAAATGTTGCAAAATTGCAATAAAATTTGACATTCTGAATGTTGGAAGTGTCGAAATATTGCAATTTTGCAATAAATTTGATGTTCCAGACATTAAGGCATCAAAATATTACAATTTTGCAATAAATTCAACATTCTGAATGTCAGAGACATCAAAATATTGCAATTTGCAATATTTTGACGTTTCTGATATCCAGAACATTAAAACTATCAATAAATTTAATGTCTCAAAGTTGGAGGCGACAATTTTGTAATAAATTGAATGTTCCGTACGTCAGAGGCGTTAATTTTTGCATTTTTGCAAAGTTGTGTGACTGGCCAATTCAACCGATTGGCAGGTCATCATTTCATATTATTTTTCTAATTAACC